AAAATAATTTAAATAAATAAAACCCCTAAATATATGCAAACCACTGTCTGAAGTAAATGAGACTATCTTTTTCAAAATAATTAATTCCTGTAACAAGGAATTATACTAATTACCATAATGTGGCAGAAAGGTCAAATAAACACACCCACTTCAAGCCTCAAAACAACCTGGTATTTCATAAATTAGCATCAAATCATTGTACTCTATGCAAGTGGACAGGGGTTTGGCTGATCGACGTGGAATAAGCCACCATCAAATAATAAAATTAGCCGACATCTGGCTGACAGGGGACGCAGTGTGTTTACAATTGAACAGGCGACAAGAAGGCAGTTGGGAATTATCCTCATTTGGTGGTGATGGTGCTGGAAGGGGGGCTGCCTTTGTACCGCTCTAGATTCATCCAGAATATACATGTTTAATATGACCAGGCTAAGTATATTTAACAACCACATCACTTGGTGTTCAGTATTTCCATGTTTGTCAAGGCCATTGACAGCTTGTATTAACCAACGCATGAATTATAGAGTAAAAAAGCATGAAAAAGTGAAATACACAGGGTCTTTTTTTTGTTTATTTATACATTTATGGCAAGACAACAGCAAAACTTAATGAGGTTAGTTGTCAAAATACGGCTAAATCCCTGTCTGCTGGGGGCAGACCCTATTAGGAGATTCATAGACATCTGTACAAGACGTCTTGTGCATCATCATTAGAATTTCAAAGTGGTTTTGATTGTTTGATCTCATATCCAGAAATTATTGTTGGGAGAGTCATTATCATAAACCCAGTTCTAAATTTGTTTTCCACGCTCTCGGTTATGATCCATAATTAACTATACTGGCGAGTTTACATTATTTTTCCCTTTTCGAATGAGGAATTCGCATGGAATTTCTCCCACTGGGAATTTTAAATGCCAATGCAAAAAAGTTTTTGGGGGACTCAGAGTGGCTGTTTTTAGGATTTGTCAGACACAAAACATATTTCAACTCACAGCTACTCTATATATTACTTCCATTTGCATGCCGACAGACTGAGACTGATTATACCCCTGATCGCAACTGCAAATAAATTATATTACATTTGGTGGAATTAAATGAAAATACCCCACCCCCCTTCCTCAATGTTCTGCACTTTAGAAAGAAGGAGGGACGAAATAATGAATTAGGCCCATTTGAGGATATTGACTGATTCCCTGAGTGCTCATGGCGTCGTCCATCCGTAATCTATCTCAAAAATAATAATTCATGCTCTAAATACATCAGAAAGAGGGGATCATAAGAATTACACCATTCAGCTCCATTGATTTGCATTGTTAATTTCCCACTTGATGGCTTCAGAGAGAGGGAGTGATGAAGGGGCCGCTATGGCGGGTTTAAAGTATCCAACACGGCAAATCACAAGATCGCCAGTATCAGCAATGAGGCTTGACAATGAGGCAACACAATTAAGCAGCAGTGGGGAGCAGAGTGCTGCAGCTCTCCATAAAACTTCTGCGAGATCACAACTTATCAGCCTCCACATAACCATAAAAGCACGGCAGATATAAAGCCCTCGCTACGAGATCTTTATCAGATGCCACAGCCGGCTAAAAGCAACTTGGCTGTTTAGGGATGTGACTGGTGCTGTGTAGGATAGATCCTGCTGGATCTGACATCATCACCGCCTGACACCTGAGCTCTGTTGTGTCGGGCGGAATGTGAAAAATGACTGTGAAGAAGAAAGAGGTTCAGAGGAACTACAGCAGCAACAGCAGGGCCTGGCCGATATGGGACAGACATCATAAATAATGTAGACATATCAGCTAACTAAGATCTATGTGTGTGTGTGTGTGTGTGTGTGTGTCAATATGGTGGTGTTTGCTAACTAGGGATGTGAAGAATATGCAACAAGGTCCAGAATCACATGGGAAAATACACAATGTGCACACAAACAAAATACTGCTACCATTTTAAAATACTTAACATTATAGCCTCTTTTTTCAGTGCAGGGCATTTGGCCATTTTTTGAAATACAGAGAAGGGCTATGCACAGGGGTGTACATAAGAGAACCTGGAGATTTGGTTTGGTCCTCACACTGCACATAGTGTGACCCATTAAATACAACTATAAAAAAATTAATTAATCGTAGTGATAATATTGTTGCACTTTATTTATTTCGTTTTTTTTTTATATATAAAATAATGAACTAAATAATAAAATGTGATAATACAATTATATTTTAAAATAAAAATGGAGTATTAAATACAAATACAACTATTTTATAGTAAACTTAAAAATAAAATGCTAACATTTACTTCTTTTTTTAAAGATGAATTTTCATAATTTTCAAACTTAAAATCAGCAGGCTTTTATTTTGGCGGGTTGCTGGCACGTAATTCAATGCGCTTCCGGGTTTAGCGCTGCCAATTGCACTGTGCTTTGAAAACGGCAGCAGGTAGCCTAGATTTATTTATCTATTCAATTTGAATAGAAATCTTATACAGTATTACAGTTTGTCGATCTAAAATGGTAATTGTGAATTAACAGCTGTCAACCATGTCGGTACGCAAATGCGCTGTCAGAACTTATTTACACAGCGCATTTTTTATTTTGGTCGCGCATGCGCACCTGCGTACCACTTATGAGCACCCCTGGCTATGCAAACTATAGGATTAAAGACTGGCTATTAAAGACTGGCTTCCTTTTAATTCATGAGCTGTAATTTGAATTTAATTGGCCACACCCACAAGAAGTTGACCTGGAATTTACTGAATTACAATTCAAAGTTAATCAGACATTATGGGAAATGAAGAGCTTTCCTCTTCGCTTTTCCCCTGAAGAAGTTCAAAAATTAGTTAAATATAAAAATAGTACCATCTTCTATAAGTGATATTTCAAACAAATCTATCTTTTCTATCTGTAAAGCCTATAAAACCTTCAAATGTCAAAACGTTTTACTTTTACTTGGTCAAGCTGACATTCAAAGTTTGTCTTGACAAACTTTTCTACTTAAAAAAAAAAAAAATACACTTAATGCCCTCGTTTGGCCTTTGCATCACATCACCCTGTTTTTATCCAGCACCTTGCACCATAATCCCTGCATTTTTAGGCTACGTCCACACGAAGCCAGAGCTTTCCCTATCCGATCTTTTTTTTTTTACCTAGTCTCAAGAAATATCTGCGTCCACACGAAACCACAAAACCGACACAAAACGATGTAGTATACATGCCAGACCAGTATGTGGCGCTGTAATTCTGCCACAGAGATACACTAAAAACAGAGAAGAAGACTTGGACTATGCGCATAAACCTTGCACGCGATATACAAACGAACATGGAACAATACATTTATTAATCTGTGTAAATGTTAGTAAATGTAAAAGACAATCGTTCAGTGTTTGTTCATGTTTTTGTTGCTGTTACGTGATATAGCGGTGTCTGACTAGGGGCGAGACGTGGGCTGATGACGTCATCGTTTCAGAAAATATACGGATTCGCTGTCCACACGACCGGTTTAAAAAAATATAGGTTTCACTCACCCAAAATGCCGGATCCGTGTGGACGAAATGCCTATACGATACAAAATGTATGCGTATACAGCTAAACGCGTCTCCATGTGGACGGGGCCTTAAAGTACTCTCAAGTTAAAATGAGCACTTTTAAAACTATTCTCCCCCCCCCTCTCTCTCTCTCTAAAAAAAAAGACATTTAAAACCCATACGTTTTGTTCCATTCAGTTGTGCTCCATCTAGCTTTCTGAAAGGAAGAATGTGCCCTGTGTGAACGTCCAGCTCAGGCCATTGAGTGATGACCTGGAATGAGAGTCACCATGACAAAAATCGCTTTCTGAAGTATCGGTCTGCAAGGTATCACCGAAAAACAGCATAACTCATCACAAAAGTAAAAATGAGGTCCTGTTGACGTATAGCGGTTTCCTAAGTTCAGTTGGTGTAAAATCTTTTGAAGATTTATATGTATTGTTTTAATGATCACGGCTGTCACTGCTGAGTACTCAGGTTCTCATGCCAATCACTACACTGAAGTACACTACACTCTGAATAGATTAATTATTTACTGTAGCTTTACTTAGCTGATCAAAATGGCTTTTGGAGCGTTGAATTTTCCCTATACTGTTCCATTATCTAAATGCTCGTTCTACAAGTAGATATTTGATAAAAAGGAAAACAGCAACTGTGACAGCCATCGTTAAAAACAGCACACATTTAACTCCGATAAACCCACAGTTACAGCTCTCGACATGCTTTCAATTAGAGAGGCCTCGATTATTGTATTGATTATAAAACGCTCAATGACAACTCGTTTGCAAACTCCCATTTGCATTTATGTATCCACTAAAATGACACACAAAAGAAGGAATAAAAAGAGAGAACGTGAGAGAAGGCGGCATCTGTTGGGGCTTTTAGACAGATATATCACACTAATCCATTCCTTTTACATGAACCCCTGTCAGGGTTAATTGGTTTGTGAAGATGGGTAATGAAGGGAAATGGCAGTGTTTATTGTTGTGCCTCTCTCATTAAAAGAAGGCAGTTTGGCTGGCAGTTACGCACCATCAGACACCGAGAGGAACATGTTATAAAATGATCAGCTTTACCCGGTGTCCTCCAATCTGAGCATAGTAATGCCGCATGACAGTGAGTTTCATAAACTATAATGAGGTTAAAGTCATAAGACGGTTTACAAAGATCAACCATACCCAAGAGCATCATGGGAGGTCACAGATGGTAAAAGCAATAACATCCCAACTAATACAAACCTGTAAATTCAATTGCATATGGGCACTCAAACACATTACAGCTAAAGTGTTTCATTGCTGTCTTCCATTGGTCGCACAAACTGAAAGTCCTGCCCCTAACTCGTGGTATTGGTTAAGCCGAAGTATTAAACACTTCAGCTTCACACCTGAAATCATGGGCATCATATAAAGAAACCGCAGGCAATAGCCAATACAAGTATGGACACTTCAATGAGCCCAGGAAGTGCTATTGTTCAGAAGTTACCTCTCTCCTGCGTGATGCCCAGCACGTCTGTTTGACTTTCCAAACCACAGCAGCAACCAGCAGCAGGGACAGGAAACAGCTGGAGACAAGACACATGGAAAATCAATAGATCAGTCAATCAAATAAGATTCATGAGTTTGTAATTGCAATTGTGGATAACATTCCTCTAACCTTCGAGGCTGGACTGAGGACAGCTGTTACATATTTGTATTTCAATCATACAATCAATGATAAACAAGTTCATCCAGCATGAAAGAATCAATGCCGTATAGAACTGACTGTTACGTCAATCATTTATGCAACACCATCCAGTGCAGTGAAAAACATTCGCACATGTTTTTCACATGCACATCTGCACTCCAACAGGTTTGATTTCCTCTCTCGCACATACACTGTCGGGTCTCGGGTCTGATCACCTGTTTCTTGTGTCTGTGTTTGTGTGTTGTTGTGCGTGGCTTGTTTTGACAGCTCGCCACGTGCGCATATGTCAGCATGATTGTTTCCCCGCCCTCCTTGTTTCTCTGCTCGCCTCTGGTTTCACACCTGGTTCTGGTTATCTCATTAGCTTCCCCTTATAGCTCCTCGTGTTTCTCTGTCTTTTGTCAGATTGTTGTGATTATTCCCTTGCTCTGACTGTCAGTGTTAGTATCGCTTACCTGCCTGTTTATTTTCCCGCACCTCTCTGTGCGTTCAGGAATCCGTGGGCTTCCTCCGGCATCCGCCCACCCTGGGACTCTGCGGTCTCGTCGTTGGGCTGCTCAGCCTCTCGCTCGGATTAGTGAGCTGCCCCTCCGGCTTCCTCTCCACTGCCACTGTTGCGGCTTGTTCCAGCCCCTGCTATCCGCCCATCTGTGTGGTTGGGAATTCCACGTCCACACGAACTGTCAGCGGAGGAGCTCATTGCCCGTGGTGATATATATGTCTGTACAATAAAGCCCTCTGTTGAACCCGCACCTGAATCCAGTCTATTCCCTGACATACACAGACTGCTCAATGGCTATTTTGATGCCTTTTGCCTTTCTTTTAGCTCCATACATTTAAGGTGAAAAATGTATAGAGCTAAAAGAAAGGCAAAAGGTATTTGGTAGTCATACACAATCCATTTTGTTGTTGTTGTTTTTTCCATTGCCAGTTCACGGCCAACACCAGCAATAGAAGCAATCAAAACTAACAAAAGAGCAACAACATGTAAGTGAAAATGACAAGTCTAGGTTAGCAAGGTATTTATATATGTGTGT